CGAAATCACGAGCTGTAGCACTTCCATGAAAAAAAAAAGAGAAATCCAAAAAAGAAAAACTAACCAAACGAAGAGCGGAGAGAGAGAGAGAGAGAGAGATGTGATTTCAGCGCGAGATACAGCCTCACCTGACTGTCGCTCGCGCTGTCATCCGTTGATAAGAGTAGGGGAGGTGAAGTATTGAGCGCATTTGGAGAAAACGCATTCGAGAAAACGCGCTGGGATGGTTTCTACTGCGGTTACTGAAGCTGTCGCGAACCGTGACCGACGTGATAAGCCGGCGCACATTTAGTCCGTCCTTTTTTTCGCTGCGCTCCCTGCACTATATTGCACTAGTTCTCATCTTTTTTTGACCCTATAAAGTCTCAACTACATGCCCAAGTCGAAATTTTGATCCTTCTTTCGACCTCCATGTTTTATTTATCGTTCACTTTGATAATCTGAAACCTATATCAACCCCTTTTGATTCTATTTAACCTACAGCTTTGATCCAGAGGTCCTCTTTAGAAACTACGAGCATTTGTGCGTTTTCTATCATTTAGGGGAGCCAAGCAGGACTTATGTTTCCGCTTATACTAAATCTAACCTACATCAAACTTTCAGAATATACTATACAGATGTCAGAAGTTGGGTCGAAAGTAGGACTAAGATTTCGAGCCGGGTATCTGTTCCTTTTCAAACTCCGTAAGTATACACTTCAACGAAAAAGAACAGACCTGTCTGCATTGTCTCTGTCGCACGTTGCCGTTTGGCGCGCAATAAAGGGGAAAATAATAATGCGATAATGAAATGGCGCGGCGTCGGTGTTTTATGAGACATGCGTGGAGAACGCATGCGCGTCCACGTGCACGCGAAGAGACGCGCTCGCCGCCGCGGTAAGATAAATGTCCCAGTAATTGAATATTGTCCCAATGTGATTGAAACGCTAATAACATATTTGTATTTAATACTTCTAGAGAAGCCTTTGAAATTTTGTTAAAAGATATTACTTTATGCCAAATTAAACTATTCAATGGGCATTTGGCATTCAGTTATTGTACATTTTTCAGTTTATCACTGGTAAGCCGGCTATCTCATTAAAATTATAATTGATACTAATTATTTTATGTCCTATACTTTTCGATAGTTGGCAAACCAAATTTTATATAAATAGTAGTTTTGCTAGTAATTACCTGATTTAATTGTTAATGAAAATGTAAAACTGATAGTAATTTCTTATTAGTTTACTCATTGAGACATTTACTTCAGTTGGCTATTTGGAGCTCTAGAATTCGTCACATATCGACGGGAAATACATACAGTACGGTGGTTGGCACATTAATGTAAAATATTGAGAGGACTATAACGCGAGAAGAATATTCAACGAGTGAAGTGGATTAAAAAGTTGTAGAATAAAAAAGCCCGTTTCAATAAAATTATCCGGGCGAAACCGGGAATGATTCACGAGCCAATGGAAATTTTCTTCTATTTTTTAAACTTCTTAAGATAAGCACTCATCTTCGTGCGCGCGCGCGAAGATGGTCACCCATCTCGAGCAGAAACGATCCCGGCAAATTGTAGGAAAGGAATTGCAGAAAAGATTTCGCGCGAGAGCACCACCGCGTGACTGTGTGTGCCATTTAGATGGGAAAAACAGCGAGGAATTGCGATTGGCGACGGCGCAAAAAAAAAAATACGCCGCGCGATATCATCTGGAATTGCGGTAAGCGGTCTGCCGGGTCCGCGGGAGGAACAAATGAAGACGGATATAAAGGAGCAGTGGAGAAGAGGAGGAGTAGAGAACAACTGTGGAAAAAATCCACGAGCACAGATTCTAGTCGCGACCGCAAACTCGTGCCGACGTTTCTCCGCCGTCCGCATTGCGTCCGTTCGGGTCGGATCTCAGTACGCGCATTTGCTCATTCGTTCGTTGGTCGTGGATCTAAGCGCGAGAGGTGTATCACGAGGATGCGAAAATGTAGTAAACATTCGCATGCTTTATTGCGAAGGTCAAATCCATCCGAGCTGCGCGCACGCGGCAGCTACTTCGAGGGAAATTGATTATCGAAGTTTTTGCATGTCGTTCTGTCGTGCGCGATCTACCTCTTTCTCTCTCTTTTCCATAACTCGCGCTCGCGAAATATTTCACTAATGAAACGTGCGAAAGAAATTTCAATTTCAAGCGCCACGAGTGCTTGCTGAGTGCGATTTTCGCGCCGATAATTACATATCGCCTCGCAACCCGAGGATCAGCATCGAATTATTCCATCCGTAATGCGGATAATCTTGGTGCGTAGATAAGATCGATGAAAAGAATGAAGAAACCAATGAAAAAAAGAGAAATATAGAGAGAGAGAGAAAGAGAACGAGGGGGTTAGATAGAGCGGGAGAAGAGAGGAGAGAAGCACCGCACTGCCTGTCCGGCTTTCGCCCTGTGGCGCCGATTAGGCCGCAATTAGGTCGACATTGTTATGTTAATGGCGGCCGGCTAGGGGGGATAATATTAGGGTGAGCCGTGGGGAATGATGTTATAATATTTCAACACCAGTACCCCGGGGTCGGCGGCGCTCAATTGATAAATCATTTCGTAAGTGGCGGGGTTGCGATATTATATTCATATTCGAAAGGAGGGGGCCACAGCCGGCGAAAACGGGTCGGCACGGACACCCCGAGAACGCGTATTTGTCGGGGCGCCCATTCACAGATCATGGATTATGGATCGTCGCGGATAATCGCGACGCGCCCGCCGACGAATGGGCCACCACTGACACGCCACGATTTCCGCCCCACAACTCTGACGCGCGCGACTCGCACACTCACTTTCTCGCTCTGACCCTGCTCGGGATCAAGTGGTAGTCAATGACTAGTGGGGTGCGAACATCCCGTCGACGTGTGTAATTCGTGATAGCCCTGAATAAACACGGAAAACGGAAGTCGCGCACCGGGGGAAGCCCCCATTCGTGTCGTTCTTATCTGCGGATATTTTTCGACAAACAGGGGGAAGATAGTCCCCGGACAAGGGGATCGGTCAAGTCTCGTCGATCGCACGAGTATCGGAGCGCCGGATCTATATTTTACGATTTAAAGGCGCTTCAAGCGTTTCACGCGTGTCGCGAGAAAAACTGAACATCCTGAACCGCGAAGTACAATGCCTGAATTTTCTCTCGCTGAAAACCGCTCTTCAAGCCGAGAGGATTAAAATCTTGAAAGGAATCCCTTCAATTCTTCAATCTCTCTCACAAAATTTCAGCAATTTCAATTTTGACGCTGTCTTCTTTACGCACATACAACAACGTTCTTCTCATATGCTCACGTCGTTTCATCTGCTTGCACGCCTAAGAGCCTCAAGCACAATTCTCCGGTGAAAAAATTTAATTAGATCCTCCAGCTCTCGCGTAGTAAAACCGTCTCCCGGCACCACCATCGCGCATCGTCGTCGCGTGTCCACCGGCGACGTGGCGACGAAATCCTAACGACGAGTCTCTCTCGCGTACTTGGGAAAGCGTACTCTACGCGGCGCATAACAGGTGGAACAAATCCAATTGGAGCCGGCGCACGTGACTATTTGCCCGGCACTATTTCGGCGTTAAACGAGACACAGGTATGGCAGCTGCGTGACGATCCACTACCACCACCGCCACCACTACCGCCCTCCTCCACCCCCGCCGCCGCGTGCGATAGTGGTTTATATTGCGGCTAGGACATAAGGGGCGCGGGAGGAGGGGAAGGGGGAGGCAGGGGAGGCGATAGACAACCGCATGCAATTGATGGGGTGCAAACGGGGTCGACCGCGCCCGACAGCCTCTTTCTCTCCTCTATAACGGCTATATTACGCGGACGTTATATTTATTTAATACGTGGGGTGGGCCCGTGCGGCGTGTAGCCGAGTATTACACGAGTTATTATTTCTGCTTGTGGCTTAGCAGAGAGAAAGAAAGGGAGGAAGAGTGGGAGAGAGAGAGAGAGAGAGAGCGAGTGAGCGCACCCTCGGACGTCGAGCGAATCGCAGTCCTATTGTGTCCGTTTAAACGTCCATTGGGGTGAACACGATACTTCTCACAGTCGGTCGGATATACGGGGGAAGAATGATTTAGTCAGATTAGGACAGAGACGGACGGAGACCGCTAATGCTCGCGGTACCACGTGAAAATACGACGAACGAGCGGAAACGACGAAATGCGGGTAGCAAGTAAGTAAGTAAGTAGGTAGGTAAGTAGGTAGGAAGGAAGGAAGGAATCTCGCGCGAATGACGAACGAGCGAGACGAATCGTCGACGAGTCTGTCTGAATAACACGACGAGCTCATGCGGAACGGCCGGGAGCGCCGCGGGAAGAATGAACGAACGAGGATATTAATTTACATATATAGACGCGTCCTCCCTTGTCCCTCTCAGATAATACGGAGTAATGTTGCGCGCGCGCTCTCTGTTGATGTTCGAACGTCCTCGCAGCTTCGACGAGGATCTCGCGCGTTGCATCGATCGAGCTCTCGCTGCTATTTTACGCTCGAGCTCGAGCGCAAGCTGGAATGCACCGAAGCGGGTTAGAGGCTCGTAACTGCCGTGGAGATTGCACTTAGAGGCTCTTACGCGGGACGATGGAGAAAACCGCGCTCTCTCTCCCTCTCTCTCCCTCTCTCTCCCTCTCTCTCTCTCTCTCTCTCTCTCTCTCTCTCTCTCTCTCTCTC